CTGTACTGTGTGTTAGTGGAAAGGGTAGGAAGGACCTCTTAATATAACATGAATGCCTGACAACTCTTTAATATATTTGGAAATTACTGTTAGACACCAAACCTGGATTTTTTTAAACTCTTTTAGTCTTACTTGATTTGTCAGGTTGCTTTTGTTTGTATTTGTAGTGGGTTTCTGTGACTGGGTTTTGGTAGCGGGGGGGCTACAGGGGTGGCTTCTGTTAGAAGCTGCTAGAAGCTTCCCCTGTCCCCTGGAGCCGATGCCAGACAGCTCCAGGACAGACTTCCTGCCACTGGCCAAGGCCAAGCCAATTAGAAGTAGTAGTAACACCTCTGTCATAACATATTTAATAATGAAAGATTGTTCTGCAGAAGAAATTCCGATCAGGGAAGAGCGGAGTGAGAACATGGGAATAACAACATAGACACTAAGGTTGGTGCAGAAGGAGGGGGAGAGGTGCTTCAGGCACCAGAGCTGTGGCCCCTGTGGCCCATGGTGAAGACCATGGTGGAGCAGCTGTGCCCCTGCAGCCCATGAAGGACCATCAGGGTGCAGAGACCCACCTGAAGCCCATGGAGGAGCCCATGCTGGAGCAGGTGGATGCATGAAAAAGGCTGTGACCCCATGGGAGGCCCAGGATGGAGCAGGGTCCTGTCAGAGATCTCCAGCCTGTGGAGAGGGAAGCCCATACTGGAGCAGGTTTTTCCCGGGTAGGATTTGTGGTCCCTGGGGGGACCTACATTGGTACAACTCATCCATGAAGCACTGCACCCCGTGGAGGAGTAACCCACGGGACAGCAGTTTGGGAAGAACTGCTGCCCGAGGGATGGGCTAACATTGGAAAGGTCCATCAAGGACTGTCTTCCATGGGAGGGACCACATAGGAGCAAGGGAAAGACTTCTCTCCCTGAGCAGCAGCAGAAACAACAACTGACCGTAACCCCCATTCCCTGTCCTCCTGCACTGCTGGGGAGGAGGAGGGAGAACGTGAAAGGAAAGAGAGGTGGAGGGAACGTGTTTTTAAGACTGTTTTATTTCTCACTCTTTGGCTCTCATCCTGTTAGTAATAAATATAAGTAGTATCCCTGCTTTGGGTCTTTTTTTGCCCATGAAGGTAATCAGTCACTGACCTCTCCCAGCTCTTATCTCTACTCATGAATTCTTATCTGGTTTTTTTTTCTCTCTTCTCTCTTCAGTTGCAGAGAGAGAGTGAGAAGAGTGGCTTTAGTGGGAACCTGGTATCTGGCCAGGGTCAACCCACTACAGTATTATAAGAAGTCCTTTATTCGATTTGTAGTTTAAAGACTTTTTTTTTTTTACTTCTTAAGTGTCTTCACCTGAGTACACTGTTTCCAGTGATTTCATTTTTGACACATGATCCTTTTTGCTTTCTGGTCCAATAGCACAAAGTGTTCGTCCTCTTTCTCATTAGGCTATGCTTTGGGAGTTCTGCTGCCCATTCCCACTCTAGCTGAGGGGTTGGGTGGTGGCTGCAAAATCGCTATCAAATTAAGTGTGTATTGAGATAATAAGGTACTAAGAAAGAGCTGGATTTGATTAGTATTAGTATTAGCAGATTTATTTGTTTTATGTAGGTCATTGATTGCAGGTGACATTTCTGACTTGATGCTTTTGATGTCAGGATATCCTGAGTTTTGTGTGGACAAAACAGTGGGTGTTTCCTGGGAAGCTCAGGCTGAGACCCACCCTAGAATGGATGGAAGGGATAAGGCAGGTCTTCTGGTACCAGCAGCAGGGCATAATGAATCTTGATGACTGCATTTTATGTCTTTGGCATACACTGGCATTTTGAGAAGCACCAGTCTGGGCTACCTCTGGCAGAGGTAAAGGACTTTTCTAAGAGAGGGATGTTACTTAAAGTAAGACTTAAAGGCTTTAAGTGGTGGCAGCTTTACTCCTTGCAGCTTCAGAGGCATGTACCCCCTTTACTTTTTTTCTCCCTTTCTTTTTGCTTCTGTTTACTCGTTATGACAGAAACTTTGGGACTTCAAAGGAACACTGTAGGAGTTCTTGCATTGTAGAACTCTTAACTGTCGCTTTAATATAAGAATTTAAGTTCAGTTCATTTTGCTGAAAGTGGGTAGAAATTACTAACTACCCTTATAAGCTGCTTTTGAAAAAGTCCGTGCTTAACAGGAAATTCTTAGCTAGTAATTTCTATATATCCTTTGAAGCTGGAATAGACCTGTAATGGACAGTGGTCTTCAGATGAAAAATGACTTGTCAGGCATTACTAGAATTTCAAGCTCAGCCTTAACCATGTAGTTCACAGGAGGCAAAACGACTCTACTTTCTTTAACATTAAATGTGGATGGAGTTGAAATGAATTACATTTATTTCACTTGTTGAAAGAAAACTTGGAGCCTGTTCCAGTTGGAGATCACATGTTTTCTGGGAATATATAGGTCTTATAACAAATCTTGGAATGCAAGTAACAGGCTCATGGGTCTCCTCTGCATGAGATTACAGTTTATGTCAGAAAAATTTGAACCCTTCAAATGTCTAGCTATGCTGATGCTTATAATTTATGGTGAGGTAAGAGTAATTGGTTCACATGAACTTTACCTTGCAACCCTTTTTAATTACGTCTTTGGACTTTCAACTGGTGGTGAATGATCAGGACATGCACCCATCTGCAGTTTGAAGCACAGACATGTATTTTCTCTTTAAGAGACTAAAAGTGGAAACACACATTTGCATTTTATAAAAACTACCCTTCACAAAACAATCAGGTGAAATAACCTTAGTAAATTATTGTGTCTTCTCCTATCTCATGTGTAAATGTTCATGAGATCTAGAGACTGGTTCACATCTGCCTGTAGTTGGAATGTGATGACTTATGTAACTTTAGTTTTTACATTTACCCTTGCAATTCTTGTGCTGAAATCAAAACTTCTTGCGTTTTAATAAAAACAAGATAAAATGAGAATGTCAAATAATTTTTTTACACACATTAGACAAATCTGGTATCATCTCTCACAGACTAAATTAATGTTCTGATTTTGCTTACAAATAACAATATTCAAGACCAGTATATTTTGCTGCATTTCATTACCAAACTTCTACATAGCTTCACTGACGGTAAAATTATTTCAGTGTTGAGCTATTGCTGTGTCTCAAATAATGCATTAGGTTGCCATCAGCCAAGAGGCTCTGGTCCATGGCAAGTTGAATATGCGTCAACAGTGCCCTGGCAGCCAGGAGGGCCAGTCCTGTCCTAGTGGGCATCAGGCAAAACATCACCAGCTGGAGGGGATTGTCCTGCTCTGCTCTGCACTGGTGAGGCCTCACCTTGAGTATTGTGTGCAGTTTTGGACACCGCAATACAGGAAAGATACTAAGCAATTACAGTGTGTCCAAAGGAGGGCAACAAAGATGGTTCAGGGCCTTGAGGGGAAGCCGTTTGAGGTACATCTGAGATCACCTGGTTTGCTGAACCTGGAGAAGAGACTGAGGGGAGACCTCATTGTGGTCTACAGCTATCTCATGAAAGGAAGCAGAGGGACAGGCACTGGTCTCTTCTCTGTGGTGACCAGTGACAGGACTCAAGGAAACCACATGAAGCTGAGTCAGGGGAGGGTTAAGTTGGCTATCAGGAAAATGTTTTTCATGCAGAGGTTGGTTGAACACTGGAATGGGTTCTCCAGGGAAGTGGTCGCAGTTCCAAGCCTGTCTGAGTTCACAAAGCTTTTGAATGGTACTTTCAGGCACATGGTGTGACTCTTGGGCTGTCCTGCACAGGGCCAGGAGTTGAACTCAGTGATCCTGATGGTTCTCTTCCAACTCAGCATATTCTATGGTTCTATGAAAGCTGAAGTTGATTCGTGTAACATGGGCTAGCTGTGATGCAAGCTGATGTTTCTCTGTTATAGATGAGCCATTTAAATCTCCCTTATATAGTTGGTTTGCCTTCTTATTTATTTCAAATACAATTAGAAATGCTATTCACTAGTACCGTCCCACAGCACAAATCAAGCTTTGAAGGAGAATACTGCCTGGTCTCCATCAGACACAGACATTTCACACACACCTGTGTGAGGTTATTCAGTTTCTTTCAGCAAAACCACATTGACCATGAGGAACAATATCTATCTAAATGGATAAATCGTTTGTGTCCATATGAATCTATGTTTTTGAGGTGCATTTGCATGCATGAAAATGAAATGCTGAATACGGGTATAGCTGCTTTACTTGAGGCGGGTATTGCTGTACTTTTATGACTTAACCCTCAAAGAGCTGAGTATTTCTGAGTCCATCAGTGCTGCTTCTTTATACGGTTCTTTATGCACAACCACTGATATTAACAGTAGCACTGCCTGGGTCGGTGCCTGGTTAACTCCAGCTCTTCAGTTAACGTGTGCTTTCTTTTTTAAGCTCTCAAATACTAGGGATAAAACAGTTAGGGAAAACTTAGTCCAGCAAGTTTTATAGGAGATCTTCAGGCAGAGAGAAAGTAATGATAGTTCCAATTCCTTATGGTGCATGAAAGTGATTATGTTGAATGCCTTTGTATCATGTTGATTCACTTCGTTGTGTTTCAGTTTTTAATTAAGACCATCTTGGAAGGCATCTTTCAATATGCCTTTCCATAGTTTCTAACTCAGCAGCACAATTTCAGAGCAAAATTTCTGATGTCTATAATACTCCAACTCTTTCTTTTAATGAGAAAAAAATCCTTTGTCTCACTGTTGTCCAAAGTGCTCCTTTAAAATGGTCTTCACTAGCTTCAAACTGAGACAAAGTAGGATACTGAAGGGATGAAAGCGAATTCATACACCAATCACGACTAAAGAACTAGCTACCAATTAGTAGGCATGACAGAGAAGCACAGGTTTATTCAATTTATTCAGTGCTTTCAATAACTAGGATAATATCTAGTTAAAAAAAAAAAAACACACCAAAAACCTTAAACTAACAGCAATATTTTTTTAACCTTTAAATGTTCTTTCTTGATTCTTTTTCCTTCTCCCTCTCCTCAGAGCTCCAGAACAGCTCGCTCGGAGGAAGATCGAGGCTTACTGTGGGATGCCTGGGGCTCATGGAGTGAATGTTCACGCACTTGTGGAGGAGGGGCTTCATATTCACTGAGACGCTGCCTGAGCAGCAAGTAAGCGGCTGAATGATTTTTATTTTATTGATGGGAAGATTCAACCTACTTGTATGTATCAGACCACAGAAGTAATCAATAGAGTTCTTGAACTACATTGAAATTTTCAACTTGGTATCAAAAAATTCTGGTGTCTTTTAATTCAGCCAAGCAGCCAGCATGCTTGGTTAGGCAACACCCTTTAAAATGTAGCAAGAGATAAAAAAGTGGCCTGGACAGCTTGCAAGGCTTCCAGCTGCTGAAATTGAAACCTCCTTGCACTTTCACCATTTAAGTGGTAAGACTTCTGCACTTGTATCAGAAACAGATAATTCACTAGGTTTAGTAGCCCGTCGTCTCAGCCATGCTGACTGTAAAAGCATTGTGTTGGTCAAATGTGGCATCCTGAGCTGCATAAGAAAGAGTGACAAGCATGCGGAGCATGTCTTACATATTCAATTCCAGGTAGAAAGTCTTCCATACCAGCAAAGCCCTTCCAACAAGCAGAAGTAAAATGGCCTGGTACAAAGGTGAAGTCTGGGTACCAAGTCAGGCATCTGGGATTTTATTCCTCCCCAGTTACTAGCTTGCAACCAAACTCAAACTAGTCATTTGATGTCTTTTCCACTCTACAGTATATGTAAATTTTACCTGCAAAATATTTCTAGCAAATATTTTTTCTGTCTACTTTAGGAAAAAACTTACCTGCAGTAAACATGGTATATGTGATAAATATTAACAGATTTCTGATAAAGGATATGACAGAAAACTCCAGACCCAAAATTTATGGCTTCTTGCCATCTCTGATACGTTATATATTGTAGTATAAAAAATGTAATACAGTTTTCCATATCTTTCTTTTGTATTTTCGTTCATGTGCTTACAAAACTGGTGTTAATACAGCAAAGGTTGGCCATACAGTCCAAGTCGTTTCCTCTGTCTAATATTTTAATACATGATGTTGTTTAATGAAGACAGGAAACAGCGCAAGGCATTGAACTATAGCATCAGAATATTGAATATTGTGTATTTTAACTTTATCTGTGGACAGTTTGGTCTCCTAGTACCAGCATTTATTGAGTTGACCATGTGCAAAAGTCTGCTGGAAGAAAAGATGGGCAAAGGCGCCTACTGAAATGAGTGGAAAACCATTACTTTCTTATTCCATTTCCATGGATTAAAAAAAAAAAAAAGTGGGGAGCAAATTCTTATTTCTTGTTAGTTTCATAGCAGACTGTGATTCTGCATTCACCTCAAAATCTGAAATAGCAGAGACAAGAGCTTAATTCTAATCACAGTATATATTTTTCCATATTTAAAAAATAAGTGACCTTCAAGATGTTACTTTCATGTAAACATGAACCCAGGCATATCAAGAGGTCTGGGGAATCTGAGCAATACAAGGGCTCTCTGACTATACCTCTGCTCCCTCACTGAGAACTGTCTCCATAGTTTCTAGAGGGCAGGTCTTGGATTCCAAGCAGCAGCAGTAGCAGTCGTAGTCCTCAGTAGTATGTGAGTATAAAGCACTCCTCCTGGCCTCTAAATCTTGTGCTGTTTGGGACTGAAGCTGCACCAGTGAAACAGGGAATAAACTCGTAAATCACACAGAATCGTTTTTCGTACAATACCTTACTACTGTCCCATTAGGACACAAGCAATCTTTCTGCCTCAAGAAACTGACTTCTAACTATGGACCATTCAGATATGGAAACCCACTGTTTACAGGACAGAATGCAGGGAGTTAATTAGGTGCAGGGGGCTAATTTGGCTTTTGGTAGACAATAGCAATAAATCATAAGTAGTAACACCTGACCTGTAATTAACACTGTATGAAATGTGCAATTTTTAATTAAGTAAAAGGTTTAAATGATGAGCTTTTCTGGTAAACAAGGATTTTAAGTTGCTAAGAAAAAGGCAGAGAGGGGAAAGAAACTCGTCCAAGGTTTGCAAATAAGCCTGTGCACGAGTACTTCAAACCTGGCAAGGCTAGAACAAAATGTCCGCCCCTATGGGACAATTTCTTCATCATACAGTTTGTCTCATGTATTTGTTTTGTATAATTTCACTGCAGCATGAAGGAAGATACTAGATACTTCTGGCAAATGAAAACAGGCAGCACAATAAGATGTTTTAGAAAAAAATAATCTTAAATATTTCTCATCCTGGAAGGAACATTCATAGTGCCTTGTATCTTCTAGTTCTGTATGAGGTGACTTTCAAAGCATCTCATGAATAGGGAGAACCCAGTGCATCTGCTTTGAAGAAATGCAAAGACTAATTGCCCATTCTTAAGTATGTTTGTATAAATATAGTGAAGTAAAGGAAACCAGTTTTCTTTCCAGCTTTTGTTTGCCAAAGTTATGTTAGTGCTGGTGTTGTTTGTTTTGGGAACATGTTTTGTGTTAGGCCTTCACAGCTGTAATGGAAGAATGGAAAGTATTAGTGAGAAATTCTGTTTTCTAGTGTTTTAAATGGCAAAAATTTTGGGGTAGAGCTGTTTAACTGTACGTTTCATTAGAACAACTGGTTCTGATTATGCTGAGGACATAATGATAATGATATAAAAAATATGCCAGTCACATAAGCAGATGGGAGTTACCAGCCCAAGTCAGTTGTATCTCCTCGTATCCCGTGCTGACAGAAAGCAGCACTGGGTCACTCCAGGGACAGAATACACCCCAGGAAAATAAAAGATTGTTAATTTGTAGTTAAACCTCAAAGGATGACACTTGTCATGCTCTTTATATGCATTACCTCTTTATCACTTCTGATAATATTGTAATTTACACAAAAGGTCAGAAAATGTTACTGGGTTTTGCCTCAACTCATTTAAAAGTGAACTCCCAGACTAATTATATATTGCGTGGAGAGATAATTATTTTTACCATTTTATCATTCTACAGTATTTTGCCTTTTGGTTTTCCTATCTTTTTTTTTTTTTATTGGATACAAAGCTCAGAAAGAGAAGCTCCTCATCTGTCTCTTCTCCATCATGAGCTGCCATACAGCACTGCTGATCAAAACCTATAGAGAGGAGAACCACAAACCACTCCTATTTTTCTTGAGCATGAAACTACCCAACTGTTGAGCTTCTACAGAAAGGCTAGTTTTATTAGCTGTTGTATATTTTGGCTACCAAGATTATGGAAACACATAGGCAGAACAGGTAGAGAGATACTGCAATACGGACTTTACCTCTTGCTCAGAATCCAACTATTGTTTGTTCCAGTCTGTCTGTTGCACCACTGGAGTTTGTCATAAGCATAGTGATTGATAATAACTCATATACCTTCCATCTAGGTATTAAGTGTCATGTTGATTCAAATGAACTCAAGCAGAGTAATAATAAATGCCTGAATTAGATATCTGAAATTCATGTGCATTTATTTTATTTTCCTGTATCAGGGTACATTTTCAAATTGTAAAAGAAATTATAAAATCTCTTATGCTAAGTTCACCCATCCTGGTCCTAAAAATATTCAGTGTTTTCTGGAATTTCACTTTACATATTGACAAGTACTGCAGTAATAGAGATAGGATTTTGCTGTGTCTAGGCTTTGCAAGACAGTTATGATTCTTTTTCCTATCATCTTCCAAATTCACCATCACTTTCTAGTAAAGTAAGGCTGTAGGTAGAAGAATAGGATGTCCTAGAGTTTTGGAAATTATTTTTGCAGATAATAGATAACTACCCTATTTTTCAATCTGCTTGAAACCCCTACATGTTACTGTTGCTGCTGTTTATGAAAAGATCATGAAGCAGAGAACAGTTTGCCTGAGTGTGTAACAGACTGCTAAGCAGGTTATGGCGTCCCATGGATACTGAATCTGAGCTAAGGGGCCATAATTTGAAATCATCACTCTTACCTCTGGGAAACAGTGTGTAAACTACTGAAGAGAGTGGAGGTTTTCCACCATTGGGTGAGGGTTGTATGTTTAGTAGCAGAAAAAAGTCAACATTAACATCTTCCTGACAAATTTCCCTCAGTATAAAAGTGTCAGAGATTAAAAAAAAACAAAACAAACAAACAAACAAAAACCCAAACAAACAACAAAAAATCTATTAAAAAACCCAAACAAAAACACACAAAAAAAAAAAAAAAAAGGAAAGAAAAAAAGAAAAAGAAAAAAAGGAAGAGGGAACAAACATAAGAGAGTTACTCTCAGCTTTGTTCATACTTCATACTGGTTGTGTTACATGCTGGAACATCTTTTTTCTCCTTTTCAAATACATCCCTTCAGCTGATGGCTGCCTTTTGTTAATGCAAGTAAACCACGAGTATGCAGTATTCTGAAGTGATTCACCAGTGTGGTTGTTCAGCCCATTGCACCCTGCAAAATGAAAACAGTAGATCTGCTTAAGGGACTCTCAACTTTATTGTAGTTTGACTTGGTTTATCAGTAAAATAGCAACCAAGACATGCCTTTGAAAGTTAGGTTTCAAAAACTAGCGAAATTAGCTAAAATTAAGTCAATTTTATGATGTGTACATTTTTCATTAAACAGAAAAGCCCAAAATAAATTGGATATTTTTTTCATTCAGTAGTAATAGTTTCTCAAATTCATCATACACATTCAAAAGCAGTTCCCAAATCAAGCATAAAATGGTTTGTTGTCTGTCAGACAAGGATGGAATAGATACATGGTATTTGTTTTGGTTCAAAGTTAAATAAGAAAGTAAGAAACTGTTGTTTACCTTGGCTGAACTTCAGGTATCCACCGGGCTTGTGCCCATCCGCCCCTCGTAGGAGAGGGGAGGAGGAAAGAGGGAAAAGGAAAAAAAAACTGCAAAACCAAACCTGCTAAGAAAGGCAGTTTAGTATTTACATAGAGAGAAAAAAAACCTATAAACACTATACACACAGAGAAGAACTAATAATAAAGACTTCTTCCCCACAAGAACACTTTCCTCCTCCGAAGAAATGGCCCGACTATTCTGCACAGAGATCTGGAAGAGAAGAGAGTGCCTTGCTTCCTTCTCGTCTCTTTTGTATCTGAGCTGATGTCATGCCTAGACT